AGTTGTGGCCCCAGGAAGGGCTTTTGTTTGGCAGCTTTTTAATGCAATATATGGAATGGTTAAGCTACACCATAGGATCAGGCTCACAGCTGGGATCAAGGCAGATTTAGATGTTTGGATAGAGTTGTTAAACAAATTCAATGGGGTTTCCTTTTGGTGAGAGGAACTTAAGCTTAAAGATGCCCTCCAGGTAGCCTCTGACACAGCTGGTTCAGTTGGATTTTTTCATGGCAAATGGTGTGCTCACACCTGGCCTGACAATTGGGTCAGGTCTGGATTGCCCACTGAATTGACTTTTCTGGATCCCCCCCCAAAAATCTTGTGGCTGTCACAATATGGGCAGAGAAGTTCACAAACTCTGGTGTCCATTTTTGGTGTGACAACCTTGCCACTCTTCACGTTATTAACTCCTTGACCTCCAAATCCCAGAAAGCCATGAACTTAGTCGGGCATTTACTTTGTAGTGCCTGTGTTATAACATCTAATTTACAGTGTCACATGTGCCTGGAATTGATAATGCCATTCCAGATGCTTTTTCTTATAAACAGAGTGCTCCATGACATTGGCACTGGAGACCTCACTAATACCAGATCTGATGCCAGAACATATATGGAGCCAGTGTGAGATAGCAAAAGCATTGATCTTATCTATCACACCATCTACAAAGCAGAGCTACCTTAGGACATTGAAAGAATTCTTTTCAGTTCAGATCAAAACACTACTTCACATATAAGTTACCTGTCCTGGTTTCACAGCTGTTACACTTTTGTGTATTTTTACATGACACCATCTATTAGGTTGCACCTGTCCAGTACTACATTTTGGTTAAAATCTCAGGGAGTTTGTGACATGACAACAGACTTTCACATTAGGAAAGTCATTAGGGGCTGGACTTGAGAGAGGGACAAGGTAGTTGATCATAGAGCCCCATTATCCTTTGACATTTTGAAGGGCCTAAGCCAAGTATGGCCTGATATTTGCATATTGGCATATGAGGCTAAATTGTTCCACACTGCTGCATTGATGGCCTTTTTTGGAGCCCTTAGGATCAGCAAATTGGTTGTGTCCTCCAAACATGATAAATCTCAAAGAACTATATTTTACTGACTTGCAAGTCAAACAACAGTCAATTTCACTGTTTATTTGTATGTCTAAAACCAATCAACAAGGTAGGGGCTCAACCATTTTGCTTAAACCTGCTGCTGACCTTCATATTTGTCTGGTCAGAGTGCTCCATGAGTACATACAGGTGAGGGGATCCTGTTTGGGTCCTTTACTTATTCACTGTGATTCCTCCCCACTAACCAAATACCAGTTTTGGACTATTATCGATAAAGCATTAGTCTCTTTAGGTCTCATGAATGTTCGGTTCCCTACCCATTTGTTTCATATAGATGCTGCTTCAAAAGCTTCTGCCCTCAGTTTTGATTCGCAGGCCATCAAATGGATTGAACATTGGAAATCCATGGCCTATAAGAAGTATATTAGAAAGCTTGATTGTTAATATGTTTTTTCTTCTATTTCAGATCATAGCTTGTGGCCGATGAGACATCGAGTGCTGGTGTGTGGCCACAGCATGATGTACTGGGCTGCCACCAGGCCAAGATAAGCCACTTTGGAACCCACCTGATATTGAGCTCAGTTTGAATGGCTTGGTACAGGGGTAGGCAACCTTTCCCCTTTACGGGCTGAGGGACTTCAGCTCCCTGAATCCCAGGAGCTATTGGCCAACATGGGACTATTGGCCAACATGGTTGAGGCTTCTGGGAGCTGAAGTCCCTTGGCCCTTAAAAGGGAAAGGTTGCCTACCTCTGGCTTGGCAAATGGGGACTACATTGGCATGGCCTGTGGGTCTCCTCCTCATTTCTCGTTATTCATCTTGGGGGTAATGACCTGGGCTTCCTAAAAGGTATAGCTTTGGTCCAACAGGCATGGAAAGATTTTAATCTTATCAAGGAGTGCTAGCCAGAGGCTGCACTGGTTTGGTCTGCCATGCTGATTTGTCAGGTTTGGAGGGGTTAGGAAACCCTTGTTTGCTGGATAAAGCCTGATGGTGGGCTAATATTGAAATCTGTCATGCTCTGGAAAGTGGGTTGGGCCAATTCTTACTGCATCCACATATTATTTTTCAAATATTTATCAGGCAGATGGTGTTCATTTTCCAAGGAGGGTACTACATTTTCCAAGGAGGGTACTAGCTCTTAACGGAGCTATAACAGAGTATTAAGGGTGTTTTGAATGCTGGTGGGAGATACTGGTGGGAGATAGGGGCTAAGTGGACGCTTGCCCCGTATCTGTGGTAGGGGTTGAAAGTAATTTGGACTCCAGTGAACACCTAGACCACCATTTGGGTAGAAGGGAAGTCTCCACAACCAACTCTTTGGGCCTTAGGACCTGGGAGGTGGCAAAAAAAAAAAAAAAAGACAGCCCTTGAGACTCCCAGTAGGATAAACCCCTCTCTTTAATTCTTGGACATTAGGAGAGGGACTTTCTGGTTAGTCTTCCAGATGTGGGCTGGGCAACGGATAAGCTTTTGGGTTCCCATTGGGGCTCATGTGTTATCACCCTGTATAAATTGTAGAGGGTGTCTGGGAGATAGACTACCAACTGCAGCTGCTCCCCACCTAGGTTATGTTCCCACTTTGTAGTTTTGTTAAGAAATTAATAAATAGGTCAAGTTAATAAATGGCCCAGTTTTTAACCCACTTCTGTGTCCGGTCTTGTTATTCCTGGGGTGCATTGGCAAAGTGCTTTGAACACTTGTAAGCAATACATCAATGGAGTGCTGTTGAAGTATTAACTGGTGTCCTAGGGCCTTTTTAGACTGCCAGAAATAGTGCAAATTGTGTCCACTTTAACTGTCCTGGCTCAGTGCTAGGGAATCATGGGAATTGTATTTTTTCCTGGGACATTGAGCCTTCTCTGTCAGAGAGCTCTAGTGCCACAATAAACTACAGTTCCCATGATTCCCTAGCACTAAGCCAGGACAGTTAAAGTGGACTCAATTTGCACTATTTCTGGCAGTCTGCAAAGGCCCCTAGTTGCAGCTGAAGGCTTTTGTTTCAATAGGCTTTGGGGAACTAACTATATGGTAAAAGTGCTGATCATGGTGTTCTGTTCTATCCTTCTTTTGTTGATTTCTAATCAAGCAGCTTCACTGATCAACAGAAGTCTGTTCTGTTGGTAATTGAGGTGCGACAGAATGAAGTTTCCAACACCCTCCTGCCAGCAACCTTCAGAGTGACAATCAGAAGCAGAACCCCTGTTACTACTCCTGTTGCACCAGAGATCTCTGAAAGGAGGGAGTTGGAAACATCATTCTGCTGTGCCCTGATTACCAGCAGAACAAACCTCCATACTTGACATAGCTTCTGTCAAGGTAGGTTTGGGGAGTTGGATTGGGAGATGAAACTAGAAACTATACTTCTGATGTAGGATCTCAGCTTGTATCCAATTTTTTGTTAGCCACTTAGAGAGGGAATTATTGTCATAATGATAATCATCATCAACAACAATTTTCCATATTAGGTTGCCTTCTCCATTGAGCTTGCAAATGGGATAAAAGGCTCAGAAAAGTATAAATTAGTTTTCTGTACAAGTACTTGTATTAGGCTCTTATATTTTATTGGGAAGCCAGAGAAAAATGGAGGAAAACATTCTTGATTTGAATTTGTTTGCAAAAAAATTAGTTTATGTTCTTCAAATATGAACATTTTAGAAAAATTGCTGTGGCAGCTAGATTTAGGGATTGTATTAAAAGAGCATATATCATATTGCCTTATACACTGTCCATTTGACATTCTTGGGGAACACAATGCTACTGGTGCAGCTGCCTCCTCTTACTCCTCTTTGGATTGTAATTATTTGTATCACACCTTTACCATGATTTAGAACTCAAAGTGGTTTATAAGAGGTTAAAAAACTAATTAAAATTCACAAAATGTAAAAGTAAATAAGTGATTAAACTATAAAAAATTAAAACCAGTTAAAAATATAAACCATAAAACCCACAAAAGCGCAAGAATAGTAGCAAACAGAAGATCTGTCATACCTTAACAGTTATGGCCTACTGAAATAGAAATATCTTCACCATTTTATGGAAGGTGCCAGTCTAAACTTTAGGGAAGAGACTTCCTAGAGCCTGGTGGTAGCCACTGAAAAGGTCCTTTAGCATGCTCGTACCAGATAAACCTATGAGGGTGGTAGGACAGCGATGTGTGTCTCCAGATCTCATAACATGGACAAGTTTGTAAGAGAATATAGACCTTTGAAAAACCTAGAGCTGAGCTGTATAGGGCTTTAAGGGATTTTTAACTGAACAGTCTGCTTCCCTACTACCCATCCCTGTCTATTATGGTTTTGTTCCACCAATTGTGGGTGTAATTTTATTAAACCCCTTTCTTTGCCTCTGATGGGGATTGGGGAAGTCTGTAGAGGGTGCTTTAATTAGCAAGATAAAAATTCTGTTTCCATGTGTTGTCATAAATGTGTTTGTTGTTGTTTTCCTTCAAGTCATTTCTAACATATAAAGACCCTAAAGTGAACCTATCACAGGTTTTTCTTGGTAAGATTTGTTCAAGAGAGGATTTGCCTTTGTCCCCTTCTGAGGCTAAAAAAATGTGACTTACCCAAGGTCACGCAGTGGGGGGGAAGCAGACGACAGCGTCCCAGACTCCCTGGGCCGGCGCGCCGCGGGGCCGTAGCCTCCGCACCTCAGTGCACCGGCAGCGTCCCTGGAAGGAGTGCTAAATCAGCGCTCCTTCCTCAAGACAGGGAAAGTGCACCCTAAAAGTGTCGGGCACACTTTCCCTGTCTTTTCCGCCGCAGCGCGTCTGGTCGCTGCGGCGGGAGGTTGTCCCCGGAGCACCGGCCGTGCGGATGGCCGGCGGCTCTGAGGACAACCTCAGGGAGAGGAAGGAGCGCCGTGCGTGTGGCTGCTCCTCCTCTTCCTGGCCTCGGAGACGGCTCAATTAGCCGTCTGCCGAGGCCCTGGGTTTCCATGGCTGAGCAGTGATTTGAACCCTGGTCTCCAAAGTCATAGTCCAACATGCAAGCCACTACACTATGCTGCATCTGTTGTAATAAATAGAAGGCAGTTCCAGATGCCTGCTATGTGCAGTGCTGGGGAAGGAGGGACCAAGCTTTCATGGCTTCCAATGAGAGGAGACCAGGAGGTCCTGAGGGTGGTGCAAAACATCATGAGTCATGTGAGGGTGCTGAAACATTGGTAATATAAGACCAGGCCACTCCTCTATATGTTCCCTTACAGCTTTTGCAGCATGCTCCACCCTCCCACCCCTTAGTGCAGTGTGAGCATTTCTGGTTGCTAGGTAGGGATTTTCTCCCCTCTTTTTCACCTACCTCACATTAAAAAGGTAAAAGTAATCCCTCAACATGAATGTCTAGCTGTAACTGACTGTAGAAGGTGCTGCTCATCTCTGTTACTAAGCCAAAGAGCCAGCATTGTCTGACGACTACTCTGGTGGTCATGTGACCAGCACAACTGCACCAAATGCTGTTACCTTTCCACCTAAGTGGTACCTACTTACCTACTTGCATTTGCATACTCTTGAACTGCTAGGTTGGCAGAAGCTGGTACTAGTGACAGGAGCTCACCTCATCAATCAGCACTTAGGCCTTGAACTGCCAAGCTTCAGATCTTCTGATAATCAGAATTGGCGTCTTAACCACTAAGCATTGTATCTGGGGAATCTGGGACAATTGGCTGAAGTTGGGGCTTCCACTGGGCAGGGAGCAGAAGAGAATTTCAGAGTTCTGGAATACACATTGACATCCCTTTTGGTGCAGGGTAGTGCTCTAGAACTACCCTACTAGGGTTTCACAGCTTGGGGGCGGAGAAGGACTCTGCTCTTAAGGCTTTGTTCCCATTCATAAGGTTATACAACTTGGATGGGAGCACCTGAGTTCTGCCTTCCAGCAGACAACCAGCTGGGGAACAACCCAGATAAACAGATTGCTGCCCAGGGTCAGGTTTTTCACCTAAGGGAAGGCTAGGTAGGATGACAGCCGCTTCACATCGGTCCCCCTCTTGCGGTCTTCCAAAAATGTCCTTGTTATTAACTAGGTCAATAAATTGGCCCTTGCTTAACTGAACTTCCTGTGCCTCGTGTCATCATTCCATGGTAGGTTATCAAGCTATTTATCATTGGACCAGTCTCTGATGAATGTTGAGCTGAGAACAGAAAATGAAACATGGAATCATACCTACCTCCACTGGGGTCTAAATGCAAATATTGTAATTATAATACTTTTTTAAAATCCAAAAAACATATTAGACATATCCACACACCACACCTTTTTTATAGTAAATCAAATCTTCACTGAAGTGTTCACTGATAATAAAACAATTGTTTTGCTTTTTGACTTCAAAAAAGAATCAGCAACAAAATGGTTTCTACTCACTTTACTCTTCTAGTTGGGCAAAAGAATTCCAGCTTCTGAATAAGTTGTGAATTATAATCTGTGTGGAACAGCACATTTTGCAAATATTGAATTTTGAAGACTTATAAAAACCTTCCCATAAAAAGCTCCACAAATTACTAGAAGAAACTATTCAGCAACCAATTTTAAGATATCTTGGGGAACTTGTGGTACATTTTTTGATATTTCATAAACCATTAAAGATGCCAAATTTGTGGAATATTACATGCATTAATTTTTTTTATAACTCCCTGAGCAAACTTACTAACTCACTCAAACACACTATCTGAGGGTAGACTATTGTGAGGATTTAATATGCATATTTTTAATATACATCTTGATATTGGTGGAAGAAGTACTATAGACTTTTACTTTATTTCTCTTTATAAGTACTCTCTCTCCCTCTCTCTGTGCATTTACTTTCTGATATGTATGCCTCAAAACTGCTACTCTAATTTCTTTTAAATGCTTGATGATGGAAAAGAAATTGTGAGGCAGATGGTTTTAGATCCACATACATGGGTGAGGTAGATAAAGAGGTGAATCATGAAAAGATGGAGGTGCTGCTAGTGATTATAAGGTTTCCTAGAGATGTGACATTTCTAAAGGGACGTAGCTAAATGATACTCATAGCAGAACTTCAATTCTATTCATTTTTTGGTTAGAAGATGCCAGACAGAGAGCCCTGGAATCAGCAAAGCAAATAACTTTCTTAATGAAGGTAAATTGCACATTGAATGTGCACAACCATACCAGGGACAATTTTTTCTCATGCTGCATTCATTTCAATTCTGAAGTGCTCTAGAGAACATAAAGTAGCTCTTTTGTTTTAATGATGTCCAATATCTGCAATCATCACAAGTCCCCTTTGGAATACATGGGGGGGGGGGGGGGGAGCCCAGCAGAGTAACTAAAAGAAATATTCAGAGCAATAAGAGAAATTTGGTCAGCAACTGTGCATGCATGATTAAAGCCAGATCATTATGTGATATTTAGAAGATGTGGTTGATGTACTAAATATCACATAATGATATTTATATGCTAGCTCCAGGGAGCACACAATCCCTTGCTGAAAAGCTCACTGGCTGCCCATTTGTTTTGGGCACAATTAAAAGTGCTGGTTTTGACCTATAAAGCTTCCCAAAGCTAATTTCCAGGTTATTTGAAGGACTGTGGTCTCCATTATAAACCTACTTCTTAATGAATTTTGGGAGGTCCTTCTCTCTGTCCCACCACTCTCACAGGTATATCTGCTGGCAACACAGGAGAGAGCCTTCTCAGAGGCTGCCCTCAGGCTCTGGAACTCCCTTCCCAAAGTGGTAAGACTAGCACTATTCCTACTCCCTTTCTATAAACACCTGAAGACTTTCCCGTTTCAACAAACCTTTGATGAGTGATTGTTTAGGCAGGACAGGCTTTGTACAATGTCCTGAATTTTCATTTTTTATTTTTGTTGTACTGTTGTGCTGTCTACAGCATATGTTATTAACTAGTTTTAAATTTGTTGTGATATTTTAATCACTTTTTTACTTCTGTATTATGTGAAGTTTTAGCTATGTTTTTTATTTAAAAACAAACAAAGAAACAGAACTATTGTAAGTCATGTGGAAACCCAGACTGGGAAAAAGGCAGGATATCATTTCTGGCTTATGGTGAGCCTCAGGAGAACCTATCATGAGATTTCCTGGGTCTGAGAGTGTGTAACTCACCCAGTCACCCAATGGATTTCCATGGCCAAATGGGGAATTGAGCCCACTACTCCAGAGTTATAGTCCAATGCTCAAAACACCATACCACATTGGTGATTGATGATGATGATGATGATGATGATGATGATGA